ATTCAAGTTTTCAATTTTTAGGGATAAAGTTTGAAAGACTTTGTTTGGCAAAGGGAAAGGCTTTTGCTGCTCATTTTGTCATTCAATATTTACTATTCCACTTATATTTTAATCAATTAACCCAATTAGTTGGCATATTTGACTGTTGATCTTTAGATTATTCAATTATGCAAATTGATGAGACATTGATCAAGTTGAATATCATATTTGGATCATTTTTTAGCTTTCATTGTCATTTTATTTTATGACAAGTTTTGATGGATATTGAGATTTCACTATATTTCTGGGGTTGACTTTACTCAACTTAGTTTTTGTTTTATTGAAACACATGCTTTCATCTATTAGATTATTTTATCTAATAATATATTGATAAAATTTCAAAAAATTGCTATTAAATCTATCTACAAAAAACTCGAACACTTACCCAATAACCTGGACTACTCAATATGCATAGTGACATCTAGTGAGAATAATGAAATGAAATTTTAGTTCGTAAAAGTCCGGTTCCAATGCAAAAACTTTTCATCTCAGGACATGATGGACAGGTCAGGACAAAAAGGTGACCGCGAACACCTTGCATACAATATGTAGGCCTGGTTTATGATATAAATGTACGTGCTAGGACAGGTTTAAGAGGACGAGTGATAAACTTCGTTTATTAATTTTAAGATGAAATGAAAATGGAATTGACATGTTTTACAAATGAAATTTTCCATCGAAAAAATGAGCACCATCAGAGATTTCTCTGATTTTCAAGTTATGTTGATCGAGCTTCTGCCATCTAAGATATTTGTTACACGTTCATTTCAACTGATATATAACCCTTAAAGCTCAGTTCAAATACTTAATATCAGGCTGAATTATGCTCACCTTTTATGATGCTGACTTTATTAATGGCAGATTGCATGGGTTGTCCAGACGTTTAATCACGATATTCTTCATTGTAAACATCTTTCTAATCAGTGCATTTTATTTTTCAATCCTTATTATGGTGTTTTTGAACAATTCGATTGTTCTTTTGGTCTATTAATAACAAATGAAACCCACCATCATGACTGATCGTTAGAAGTAATATAATCATTCCAAATATGTTGATGAAATTGAAATAAAAAGACGTAAATATAAAAATAATAATCAGAATAATTAACAAAAAACAATTACTGAGCACATTTCGGACATTTATGATTTGGATTAGTGCATTTTTCAACTCGCTTAATTGGCTTAGTTTTTGATTTCCACCACTTGCCATTAACTTCAGCCTCCGCAATTTGCCTATCTAAGCAGGCCGGAGGTTGCTCCACGTTATTAATATTCTTCGAATTCGCATGGCGATATGCGGATGAAGAAACCGTGAAGAATTAGGGACAATAACCACATTTGTATCTTACCAAACTAGTGCCTAGATCTTTAGAGAAAAATTCTGCGCTGGTTTTAACAGCAGGATCTCTTCGCTTGAATTCCAATTCATCCGCGTCATCTTCAATGTCCCCACCTTCAGCACAGTGGATAGCTGGCTTATAATGAGAAAGAACTTCAACTCGAAATAGATCTTGATTTCCAATTTTTGCTCTATCGTGTACAACAATTGGATATTTGTATGTCCACTTAATAAATAGGTCTAAGAATGAAAAAAGCAGAACAATTGATCAGTAAAGAGGAATACGATACTAGAAATAATTTCAGACTTACTTGTTCTCGAAATTTAGCCATTGCATGAAAGAAATTATAAGAGCCATAATATAATAAACAATATTTAATAAATTTAATTGAAACTTTTTAATCTTTAAACTTTTTAGATTGTAAAAGAATTGATTGAAACAGCTGTACTGGTTCGATACTATCGAGAATCGCAAATGGAGATAAACAATTAAACAATTACAATTGATTTGAAATAATTAAAATTGGTTCGAATTTTGACTTTTCCCAAATTCCAAATCTTGAATCATTCCTAAGCTTGAATCTTACGATAGCAATCTCACATCTGAAGTTAATGCTTTCCTTCGAGATTTTTAAGATTTCGCCGATTCTCATAATTGTGATCCATCGCGAGAGTCAAAAATTTAACTTTGTATTTAACCGGTCCTGCTTAGGATTGGTACCATATTCATGAAAAGCAAGGCAATTGAATGGACCATCGTAAAAGAGAAGATTAAGGAATATTTTCTTCCATCTCGTTGCGAGACTTATTTGCGAGAGGAATTAAGGAACCGAATCCAAAAGCCAGGTGAACCAGTTGCAAATTATGTTATTGCTAAGCTGATATACTGTGATAATATCAACCCTGAAATGACAGACCTAGAAAAGATAGAGCATCTCTGTCCTGGCTATTGAAAATACATGAAAATTTACGGATGGCTCTGTATCCACTTAATCCCACAACAGTGAATTCTTTTCTTGATTATGTTAAAAGAATCGAGGTAACTAACAAGGGACCTACTCCTACTAATAGTGACCACTCATCAAATTTAGACGGCCTGATTCAACGGTTCATTGCCGAGACGGTCGCACGACTAAAAGCGCGAAATGACGGACGCACTTTTGCCGTCGCCCCTGAGAATAACCGTAATAATAATAATCATCCTCCTTTCCGACAAGTAATTTGTGAATATTGTGGAAGGCCGGCCATATTGCCAGAAACTGTTTCCAACTGCATGTTCCCCTTATTTACTTACGTATTTTCCCTGATCCACCTGGCCCTCCTCCTGCGAACAATCAAGGAAGTAGATCACTTGCAGTCAGGTCTAGTGAGCCTGAAAGATATCCCATAGGCTATCGTGGCTATCCTTGACCTCAAAATCCAGGATACTACCAATTTATATATCAACAAGAATATTACGAAGACGTCCCGCATCAACAACGAAACACCAATTATCTCAGCTTCAGGAATTTTGGAAAATTGTCTTTTTTCCTCTGCGGTTGCTTCTCGTGCCCATTCCTCTTCATCTATTTCCGGCCCTTCGTCAGAAAACCCCTCCCCTTTCTCTAAATCCTCTTCATCGGGGCTGTCACTGCCCTGGTTAGAAGTATCTTCTGGTTCTTCATTGGCAAGGTCATTTTCTTTGATACGAGTATCTTCTGTTTCCTCTTTCAAGTTGTATCGGTTGCTATACTCTCGAAGAGCCAGTGGATAGAAAGATGCTCTGAAAGCTCTAGCGACCTGCTTGTATCTGGCTGGCATCTAAAACAACAAAAAAAACATAAAAAAACAAAACATTAGTTCAACTTGCAAAAGTACAAAAAAAGGAAAAAAATACACAGTAGAAGAATGACAACTTACTTTTGTTCAGAATATGAAAATGATAATATTGTTTTTTAAATTTTCTCTTGTATTTAAAAAGACTTGTGTATAATTTCCAGAAACTGAGGTCAGTTTTCATGCTGGTCCGGCGAATGTTAGGGTCCGACAACGAGGAAATTCGTTCTCGTTGATTAGTTGTCAGATCACTTTAAAACTCTTCAAATGCCTTGTTAAGAGGCTTATTCTCATCCTTTTGCTTTGTATCTTCCCTTGGTTTCATAAAATAAAGTCTTTTACTTACACTCGCAGTTTGTGTATCACAATATAGTAGATTACATTAAAAGTTTTACTTAACTTAATCTAACTTGGTCCAAGTAATCAGGAGCAGCACCAACAGTCTTCTAATTTGGTGCCATCATGGCAAGATCGCCACAATTGCAGGTTGTTAGCTAGAATAAACGGTGTTGCTTAGATTTTAAGGGATATTTTATTTTAATGAGAAGATTAAGTCTTGGAAAAAATGTTTCACCACAGTTGAGAACTCCTCTTAATTTATCCTTTCATATCAATGGTTACGGCTGGCTATTGATACTGTAAATAGTAGTTGAAATTTGAGATTCAATCTACACTTGATGATTGTTTTTCGGTTAGCACTATTAGTGAAATACAACAGAACACTAGGTGAGAGTCAGTATTAAAATCCGGACGGATTAACAGTTTTTTTATTCCCACTGAAATATGCTGTCTAATACAATTTTCAATCAATGAGATTCTGCCTCTAAATTGTTAAGATTCACAGGATTTGTTCACTTGAATATAGTTACTTGAAAACCATTTTATAACTCACAACTTTATATTTCACACTAAGAAAAGTTAGAAAATATTTTCACTGGAGATTAATCAATTGTCATCACTATACTATTCAGTAGTCAGCCGATCAGGGCTTCCGCGAGGTCCAACATTTTGCCACGAACAAAAAAATGTCGGCCATTTTATCTACCGTGAGGGAGATCTCTTCACTCACCAAAATGTTCGACCCACCAACTTTTAACCAATTGTGGTCTTTCCCTACGTCAAGCAGGTAGGGAAAGTGAGAGACACTAAAAAACTGTTTTAAAACAAGTTTTCTAAGGTTTGCAGCACCAACCGTTAGGCTTGCAAATAGGCATAAACCGTCCGGTATATAGCTAAACATGCTATAAGCAACTATTAATAGCTTGAATGATGCTTATTGCAATCAATAAAGTTATATCAAGAACAGTTTATATTTGACACAGTGATTTGGAAGGTAATGAAGTTCACAACTTTAACACCTATTTTTCGATTCATAATCCAGTAAGTCCGTAAGTAAAGGGTGTAACACTTAAAAGGCACAAATGGAGAAGTTAAGAAGAAGGCATATCTTACCTTAATCAAAAAATTTGATAACAATACTCAAGATAATAATGAAGATTTTGAAGCAACAGATTTGATTTTGGTTCATTTTCCCTGTTGCTTCATTATTATCTTAATCATTGTCGTCAAATTTTGTGATCGAGGAAAGATAAGCTTTCTTGTTACCTCCTTCATTTGTGCCTTTTTAAGTGTTACTAGCTTCATTATATTAACAATAATAGTTATAAGATTTAGACCACTTTTCGTTGTTACTGAAAAGATGAAGATGGAGGCACTTTACTCACAAATTTACCAAATGAATCAATGATAATGTGAGCAAACTCTCAGTCTCATATCCATCTCATGTTGAAACAGTCAAAATGAAAACTGTAACAATAGTTGAAAGTGAAAAGTACTAACAGATTTCATGGCAGTCATGAATATCGTTTATCAATTTCAAAAGACATTTATGATGAAATGTGTGTATTCTTGTCAATTGAATAGCTCAATCAACTCGGATGTAACATTATAAAGCAATAAAAGCATGAAAATGTGTAAAAATGTTGCAAACTGGATTATAACAATTTTATTTGCTCTTATCAACTATGCGAGAGCAGACAATGAAGGTAAATATTTTTACTCATTTACTAAACTTTAGCAATTCCAGAATTCAAACACTCAAAACGAAGTGCAAATTTCGTTTCACCAGACTTAACCCTTCCCAAGTCACTATCCATACATGAAGCAATGAATTTTCATCATAACTTTTCCTTTTTTCATCATTTTCCAATTTCTTGCTTTCCAGTTAACGCTACATTAACGTTTCAAAAACTTATCAATTCCAATCAGACAACTCAGCTTCCCTTTCTGGTGGATTATTTAACCTCAACTTTGTTCAATTTTACACCAACAGAATCGGTAAGTTGATCCTGCTTCAAATGAACTAAAGTAAAATGATATGAAAGAGTTTTAAAAAGTCTAGAACAATTATTGAGTCGATATTTTCGACTTTTTCTAACCAAATAATGTACGTTTTACTCAGCTAATGATGGGTTACCAGAAGAAGTAAAAGATCAAGTTATCATTGTTGCTCTTTTATAATGATGATAGTAAAGAAAAAACATAATGATAAATATAATGATAAAAGCTGCTCATTTTCACTCCCAGTTGCATTAGACAAAAGCAGCCAAAAGAAAGAGAAAAAATTCCAAAGTGAAAAAGCAAATGCATGATGTAAAAGAAAAAAAAACTGAGTAACTTTTCCTGTCAAACATTTTTCGTTACCTTGCCTTTTAACTTTTGATATAATCTTTCATTCATCATGGTATTTGAACTAACCATAAACTGTGATTTGAAAGACATGGTTGGCAAGAAAATGAGCAAAGAAAAGAAAAGAAGCTTTAAAAGATTTTAACCAAAAGAGTTTCAAAAAACTCTGAATAAATGTTTTCACTCTTAATCTTTTCACCTTTTCCATGTTCGATTGGACTATTCATGGGTTGGACAAATCACCAAAACTGAAACCTTTTCTTTAAACATTCATTGCATGGAATGAAAAATGTGAAAATGGATTTGAAATACCAAAAGACGAATGAAAATTTAACCCAACCTTTGACTATCAATACAACCTCAATGGTTACCAATGAATTTACCATGTTGAACACTAATGATTCAATGGTTCATCCCTGGTTACCCATTGGAAATTTTACCAACATTCTTAATCAAAGTTACACTTTGGACACTTTTACTGAACCCAAAGTAAATGCTTACCAAATAGAGAGTCAAAATATTTTATCAGTTTACAAGGTAATTGATGAAACGGAAGCCAGCAATAAAAGTGATAACATTAACAGGGAAGGCAATCTTGATGAATCGTTGCCTTCATTTTTCGACGATTCCCCCACCAAAGATGAAGATTATGCTGGAGGTGCTTATGGGAATGACGAGGACAATGATGAAGAGAGTGACGATGAACTGGCCAATGGCAACCTAAGAAGTAACTTCATTTCCCGTGAAGATGAAGGTGATAAGTTGACGTGACAAATTGATAATCATGAAGCCAAAGTACATTTAAATCATCAGCAAAAGTAAACTTAAAGCTCAAAATTCAATTTCAACATTTGATAACATTTAATCGTGAAAAAGGGAAAAAATGATTTGCTCAGTTGGCAAAGAGTCTTTTGCTTATTCGTTTCCATTTCCCATTGAATAATTCATCTGAGAAAATGAAATGTTTCCATGGTAAACAAGTATTCTTGATGGCCTCAAATGTGCCATTAAACTTTATTATCATTATCATTATTATTGCAAGTCAAGTTGAACGTTAATACAACTCGAATGTTATTACTTTTTGTTCCTTCTTTTGCTGTCATTTTTTTCCTCTTCCCTTTCTTTGAATTCCGTAAAGACAAGGAAAATGTTTTTATCCTTTTTCAGTTTGCCTTTTGTAAATAACTGTACATTGTATTAATATAAATAAATGTAAATGCTTTAATGGTGATGAAAAGAGTGGAAATTATTTTTTTTTCTTCTTTCATCATTTTCTTCATCAAATGTTTCAAACATGCTTTTTCTGTGGCTTGATCATTATTCATTAGTTGCAATGGAATCAATGGTGAACAAGAAAAATGCTTTTCTTTACAAATTTTGTTCATCAAACATGATGAATGATGAAAATTTCAAACTTTGCTGGGTAAAGTGAATGGAAATACGTGACATTTTTTCATCCACAATCGTTTGACTACATGAGCATACTCATTGTGCTTTGGTCAAGATTTCAGTGAAAAATGGTGTTCCATTAAGGATGTTGCAAGAATTTCATGGAATCGAATGAATATTTCAAGTTGAATTCGTTTCATTGACTTGCTTTGTAGCTTTTTTTCCAGTAAATTTCAAGTTTCGCATCAATTTCAACTTCTTTTGTATTTACCTTCAACTGCAAATGAGAAAATGTCTTATTTATATTTGCCTTTTAAATGGCCTTTTGCTTCAAATGGTTTGCTCTTGAAAAAGTTGAACCTTTTTCCCATTCATTTGGAGTTTTGTTTTTCTCTCAATTGAGTCATTCTTTTTTGACATCAATTGTCCAGTTGAATGGGCGATAAACTTGAATTGCTTGGATGGAAGAAAGGAATGAGAAAAATGCTCGAGAAAATCAATGATGAAAAGATTTTACTTGAAAGAGAGAAAAAGTTATCCAAACTTTTCTTCGAATCATTTTTCAATTTTTCGCAACTTCACCATCAACTGCTCTAACAATAGCGACTTTTATCTGAACCTTTTCCAAGTCAAACAATTGCATGAGTTTAAGCTTATTTTTATGAAGATTTGAGCCAAGATTCAAACCTGAAAAATGAATGCTTATATTGAGCTAGTTACTATTTAACACAACTTTTGATTGCAAGGAAACAACATCTATAATTGTCATTCTGTGTTCAATTGAATTACGATATTTTCCCTGTAAGTGCTCTTTGAAGTGAGTGAGCAACTTGAATATGGATGTTTACCAGTAAACTTATTCTGATCGTTTACTCAACTGCTTAAGACGTTTATTCATTGGGAATTATTGTCCAGTAAAGCAAAGATGAGAAGAAGAAAAGTCGAAGAGAAAAAAAAAGTATCATGATATCATTTAATGATTACATTGATTTCTCCCTGAAATCCAATAGAATCGATAGAATAGATTATCATTATATCAATATATGATGACAGTTTCCTAAGTAACTTAATTTTATCAAGATTCAGGTTCAAACCTTTTCGTCTCATCATTGCCAACTTTTTTGTCTTTTTTTCTCGTTCATCTATTCTCGTCTTTTTTCCTTCTTCCGTCTCATTCCTTTTATTTTTGGTCAAATTTTCTTTAAGTATTAATCTCTCAAGGATCCTCTCTGCTTCTCATGGCAATATATCTTTTCGAGTCTGAAACTATCGATGAGAAAAAAGAATTTCTGAGAAACAAAAGTAAAGGGGAAAGTTGAACAGAGTTGAAGGAAAGAAAAGTTTATCGAAATTGACCGATCGTTATTACTTCAAGATTCAATGGTCAGTTTTCGCTTCTTTTCTCGAATCGATTTCAAACATTTCTTTCCTTCTTTTTTTCTCATTTCATTTTATCTAATTTCACTGAGAAAAATTTCTTATTTCACTTTATCCTCGAGGCAAATGTTCTTGTTCACGTTTCATTTCATTTTTTTGATGGAAACGCTTTTTTACTCGAAATTTCCTTCTTTTCTCATTTTTTAAGGTAAAACAGTTTTACCATCATTTTGTACCTTTTATCGGTAAAAGATGGAAAAATGTTGTTAATCCAATCAATAGTTGAACCAAATTGATTCAAAACTATATCATGTCAACTCCTGAGGAAATGTTCATTTCAATAGATTTGTTCTGCTATTTTGATTTCATGATGTATTACTTTTGAAAGAAGAGAGAAGAAAATTTTCTGGTTAGAATAAGTTCAATATTGAGGAGAGAACATTTTTCATGATCATATTTAGTTGAAACATGAATTTAGGTGAATAAAGGAGGAAAAGGGAAGAGAAAAAATGAATCCAGAAATGATGAGAAACTTGTTATTTGGTGGAGAAAATTGTTTCCTCTTGTTAGCCTTTCTTGACATCCAAACAATCATTATTTCTCATGGATTGGATTCTCCCATTTGAATGACAAAAACAATTTTATTGGCTTAAGGTGAGAAAAATTGAATTCACTCGAGTTGATGATTTCAATAATTCTGATCACGGATCAGGTGAATCTGCAAGAATAAACAAGAAGAGAAAAAAGTTGGAAACAAAAAAACTGGATTGAATTCAATCTCAAATAGATTGACTGTAAACGTTATTGAGCAGAAATACCATTGGAAAAACCAATGAAGAGAAAATCAGGAAAAAAAGAAAAAGTTTGTCTGAAAATCTTTTCCAATCAGATTATCATGCAAAAAGTAGAGTTACCTTGAAAAATGAAAATGCAAGTTATCGAATTATCTGAACTTCTTTGTTTCTATTTTACCTTTCTATTGGATATTCTTGCAGGTAATTCAAGAACAGAATGCAATTGAACCTGTTTTGTTTCAAATGAACTTTCCATGTCCTTTTCCCCGTCAAACTGGTTCAAGTTATCAAATTGTTTTCTGAATAAAAAGAAAAAGAAAAATTGATTTCACTTTTTTTCGGAGGATTGTTGGAGGAAGGAGAAGGGAAAAAGTTGCTGATAAACTGATATTGTTCATTATCAATTGCTTCATCATGTTTAACAGAACTTTTCTCATAAATATTAATTCCAACAGAATTGACATTCCCTTGATGATATTGTACATCAACATTATTGATAGAAAAGAGGAAAAAAATTATCTCGAAATTTTCTCTTCTTTTCACCTCCCAGCCAATTTTGTGGATAAATTTTCAACTCCAACCTTATACAGTCAACAATGTAATCAATATTGTCGACTAATTAATCGCTCTTTTTGAATGACATTCTTGTTTTGCTTCTTTCATCTTACAATTAATGATCAACTTGTGTCAACCAATGGCCATTATAATGGGTTATTCAGTGAAAAGTAAACTGAAAGTTTCAAGGAAAATCGTTTGTTGTTGTCTGAAAATTTATCAACTGAAAATGTTGAAAGGAAAAAGGAACAGAAGAAAAAGAGTTTTAAAGTTCATTGTAAATAGTTAAAGTTTATTTCGTTTCTCGCCTGGTGAATAATGGTTCAGTTCAGTGGTACATCAGAGATTGATTATTTACTATTTTAATCGTGTTTACTCAGAGAATGAGAGTTTTCCAGTTTTCTTTATTGCTTCTCATGATTACATTTGAGACTGAAAAGACAAGTAAAGAAAGCAAAGCTTACGAAAAAGTAAAAGCAAGAAACATTTGAAATTTGGAGCAACAACGAAAAAAAGGAAAGAATCAAAGGAAAAAGCAAAATCTCTTGTTTGCTAAAGATGAGCCAAATTTTGTTCATGGAAGGTCAATTGTCAGGGAAAAGAGAGCCCAGGAATTGGATGAGAATTGAATAGGTTTGGAATTTTTCCTTTTTTCTTCTTTTTTGTCTTCCTTCTTGCAACAAAGTATTAGTTTCTTGTTTTTCAAACATTTACTCCCAGCTTGGATTTGAAATTTTTTGTTAACATGATCAAAGTGAATGTTTGAAATTGAGCAACAAAATACAAAAAACGATAGTTTCATTGAAATGTCACAAACTCTGTAAGAGTTGGTTAACTGTTGAACCCAATGGAATTTGAACCAGATAATTATCATAAGTGCATATTTGATCAGAATTTGCAAATTAAAAGTTAATTTTGTCTCAATTTGAATTTAAAGCACCATTTTAATCTCTGGAATTATGACTTTTCTATTGCATTTGATCTCAATTCTCAATTTGTTTCTTAATTATCAATTCTGTTTCCACAAAAATATAGTCTTTATTGCTAAGATGATGAAAATTAATTGCAATTGTCAAAATTGTAACTTATTCTAGTGCAACTAATTGGATTGGATTGAAAGAAAAAATAGGAGAATAAATTAATAAAAGAACATTTTTCCTCTTCTATTATGAATAACATTCATCATGAAACAGTTTAATGGTTTTGTTTCATTGTTTTCTCTTCCGTAATGCTGAACATTGTCACAATTTTGTTTATTCAAGTGTATTGCAAATTAGCAAATTTATTTGCCTCACATTTCGCCCAATGCGATATCTTTCACAGTAACAAAGTGGTTCAATTAAATGCTGAGCTTTGCATAGCAAAAATGAATGTCATTCAAATTGTTCATACTCGATTCACAATCCAATTACCTCTCTTTTTGAAAGTTTTACATCTTAATCATTACACTGTGATGCAGAGAGTTATTGACAGTTCAATTTTTGGAATCATCTGAGAGTTATCCAGAAAATCATCATTGGACAGGTCAGCATCCTCTTTGAGCAAAGAAAGTGGAAGGCCATCCGATGTAGAAATTAGATTAGAGTATTATTGCAACGAATACTCAAATGATGATTTCGATGAGTATGATGTAAATTTTCAAAGGTTCGATATTTGATAATGATTTCTCAATTTAACTCGCAAACTGAGGTAGTTGCGTGCATATTTTTGTACTGACTGATAACAGCAGCATTTTCATTAACACTCGAAAGACTAACAAT